TCCCTGACAGTAGGTTTGAGGTTGTTGTTTCTTTTTCTTTTTTTCTGTTTTATTTTTAGGGGAGAGCACTGAGTGCTTCAAGAAAAGACCAGAGAGAGAGAGCTGGAAGGGAGTCGTTAAAGCATGAGATTTACCTCTTAATCATTTCCCGGGGTTAAGGCTTGATAATAAATGCCACTTTTTGTTTTAATATAAAATGGTCAGAAATCCCAGTTAATAGAAATCTTGGATGACACAAATTCCTAGAATCTGGTTGTACTATACCAGAGGTGAAAAGACGGTCACAGAATTGGCCTTTGGGGGCCAAGCTGTGCATTTAGTAGAGTATGAGACCTGGAAATAAGAACTAACAGTGTTCTCATCAGGGGTACATTTGCCAGGAGACATTTGGCACTGTGTGGAGACAGTTTTGATTGGCCTAACCTGGGGAGAGGGCTTCTACTGGCATCTAGTGTGCAAACAACGGAGCCTCTACTCTTCCCAGCCAAACAAGCAAACAAAAAATACGTGTGAGGCCTTTCTAAGCTATGAAATTTGACTCAATGGCAGGAAATTTAGAACCAGCGGAGGAATTAGAAGAAGAATGCAGTCCTTTACATGGGAAAGTAGACAGATTATCTTTGCTGTATATGATATGGTATGTGTGACCTATATGATTACATTCGAATGGCCTGTGCTCAACTGCTAGCCTAATAGTTGGTGGCTCTGACTCCCCCAGCAGGACCAGAGAAAAAAGACTGTCAAGAATATAGACCCCCTAACCCATGGAGCAGTTCTCCTTGTCACTCACTGGAGATCACTTTAATTGTCAGGAGTAATGGCGTTTTTTGTTTTGTTTTGCCTACATGTTCGGTAGATGGTTTTGCAAATGTATACATTTAAGTAACTGCTAAGCTTGACTTTTTTAATGATGTTAGTGTGGGATTTAGAAATGAATTTCTATAGCAGCATGCCAACTCTTTTACTTAAAGAAAATGAGAATAGATCACAGAGCCTTAGCAAACTGCAAATGATCACTGTGTAGGAGGAAGGAAATAAATCTCCACACTTCAGAGACTAATGTCTCCAAAGACGATACCAGTCAATGTGTTTATGAATTTACCTTACTTATTCCCTAGTTATTTTCCCTATTTCAGACATGCTCCAATTCCCTCCTTGGACATATTATATCCAATGCACTCCTTTAAATGCCAATATAAGTTAGGCAAAAATGGATCTTTTGATAATACAAGTAAGAGGCTTATCGTTCATACATGTATGGATTTATTCCAAGCCAGATATCTTTAAACATGTCTCTGAGGCCCATGAATGGCTGCACACAAGTTCCCTCAATAATACTACATTTGCCTTAGTCTCATCAGAGAGCTCTCAGAAGTAGGTTCAACCAAAACAGAGGCTTCCCAGGGCATCTGGTGGGCCGGTGACAGTTAAGGCAGAGAGGGCAGCCCAAAAGGTTAAGGACACTATTTGGAGGGTGAGGAGTCCAGAGGGTAATCTTGATAGATTTTTCTCAAAGGACACAGACCCATCAGGAGGGCTTCTTTCCTTATGAAGAAGTTTTAAGAAAATTAAAAACTGCATTGGTGAGAAAAAGCCAGCAAAGTTGTACAAAGGATTTAATTTTTTTTTTAAATTTCCATCACAATCCTGTGCTTTCTCATTCTTTGAGATGAGCAAGGGCTGTCCTATAAGAATTTCACTGGGAATCCTTAGCCCATCACCCTATAACCCTGACCTTGCTACTTCAGGGTTTTTTTTGTTCCCCAAATTCAAAGAACATGTCAAAGCAGCACATTTGGAGTCCCTTCGGAAAGCCAGAGCTGCCATTTTGACATGGTGTCAGTCGAAGAATGCAGACTTCTCTCAGGAGGGTTTCCCAAAACTCGCTGCCATCGAGTGCAGGCCGACTCATAGCAACCCTATAGGACAGGGTAGAACTGCCCCTGCGAGCTCCCAAGACTAGAACTCTATGGGAGTAGAAACAAAGGGTTAGAGGGATAGAAATACTACATTCAGAAATATATAGACCAGGATGACTAGCTTTATATTTTGATATTTTCGTTTCATAAGGGCTTCAATGATTTTATAGCAATCCTTTTTGACCCACCCTTGTATGAGACATTATATCAAATAAACGAAGATCATTTCTAAAGCTGAGCAAAAAGGTGATGGTTTTCAACTCCAAATTATGCGCCTTGCCATGGCTCATCTCCCGTGGCTGTAAAGACATCAGGAAGTAGACAGGCAACACGAGTCCTGGCAAGAAAGGTCAATGAAGGGAGGCCAAGCGAGGAACATGACCTGTTAGCACTGAGCAAAAGACAAGATCTGTGAGTTCTGGAATTTAAAAACAGAACTCAAAATGGGTTTAGCAGTAGCTATTTGAACAGAAACAAAATTTTAAAACAATAAATAAGAGGAGAGCAGGTGCTGAGAGTCGGAGTAGAAAATTCACATGAGGCAAAGACAACTCTTTCACCCTTGTTTTCCCTCCCATAAATCCATGGGGTGTGAGCAAAAGATTTTGGAGCTGCCAGGGAAGTCAATCATACAGCTGAGAACCCACTGGAACTGGCAGAAGCTACCTGTGGAGCCTGGAAAATAGAGTGATTCTTATCGCTGACACTCCAAGGAGATGCTAGCTGGTCATGCTTAAAAGCACACCTTAGAGGATGTTTTCCACTGAGAATACAATATTATAAACGTCCAAACTTTCTCACATTCTTTATTCACCCCTTTGGAACCCTGGTAGCATGGTGAGTGAAGCACTCCTACCCAAAGGTTGCCGGGCCAAAGCTGCCAGCCATTCCACAGGAGAGCGATTATGGGAATCTGTTTCCATAAAGATGAATAGCCTTGCTGAGCCCAGGCGGCAGTTCCACTCTGCCCTACAAGGTTGATATGACTTGGAGGCGACTGTAGAGCAATGGGTTTGGGTTCTGTGGTTTTATACACCCCTCAGTTGGCTCACGACAGTTCAGGATTATACTAATTTCCCCAAGCGTGGGGTAGCAGCCTGTCCCCAATTCTTCAGCCTTCCCAGTGAATTGGAGCTTGGCTTGTTATTTGCTCAGCCCAAGACGTGTCTCAAAAAGAAGCTTGCCATAAGCAGGATGTGGTAATGCTAGAACCTTAAGGTTCTCTCACTGCTTGCCGTGTGGATGGAAAAGCTTCAGAATTCTACCTGAGCATTCACCCGCGTGAGGAAAGAATTGTCAAAGAATAAAGGGAACGACACATGGTTCCTCAGGTAATGACAAGCCTCAAATAGGAGAGCACGATTTTCTTAGTTACTCTCAGAAGAGAGGTGCACCGGTCCCTATGGACCATGTATGTTAGAAAGATCTGCTAAAACTAGCTGCTTGCTCCATCAGTGGATGGACACACCTGTCCAGTACACAGTTTCATGCTCAGGCCCTGGGATAGAAGATGCAAGAGCTAAGCATCCACCAGGCTGCTAATCAAAAGGTTGTTGGGGGGAACCCAACAGGCACCGCTGCAGGAGAAAGACCTGGCAGTCTGCTCCTTCAAAGATTACAGTCATGAAAACTGTCTGGGGCTGCTCCGAGTCAAGGCTGACTCAAGGTCACCCGGCAACAACAGCATCTGCAGGAGGCCTTATATCTATGTATAACAGGGGCTTCTCAGTAACAGTGTGAGGCATGCCAGAGAATGAATTGCTGGATATGATTGTAGACAGAAGTTCTGTTTATGGATATGCTTATTAATCAAATGATAGTTGAGCAGCTGCTGCGTGTCGCATGCCCCTTGGCAAGCGCTAGTGACCTAGCGGTGCACAAGAGAGACAAACTATCGTAGCCCGCATGCAACCTCCTCCGTGCGTGGTTGCAAGAACCAGAATAAATGAAGGACAAGATAGTCCATGCAAAGAAGGGAGACAGGTAAGACTTGGATGGGGGTGGGGGTGGGGGGTTTAAGAAAGCAGTCCTGGTGATTTCAAAGAGGTAGTCAGGTCAGGACTCGGTGGGGGTGAAAAATCCATTTTAAAAAGACATTTGAACAAACATGAAGTAGGTGAACATGTGGGTGATATCATTAGTGAGGAATAGAATGTTCTGGGCAAGAAGGAAAATCGGGTACAAAGGCCCTAAGGCAGGACTGTGCCTGATGTGCTTCAGAAACAATGAGCATGTTAGTAGACTGGTGAACACTAAATGAGAAGAGCACTATTAAGTGAAAGGCTTAGATACTTCAAGGGGAACAGATCTCTGTGGACCTTCTTGACCGTAGTTAGAACTTTGACTTTTATTCTGAGAAAGGCGGAAACCTATTGATGTTGAGCAGAGGACTTAGGTTTTGGCTGTTATTGTTGTGGTTGTAGTTGTTGAATGCCCTCTGGCTATTGCATGAAGAATATATTATTGGGGGTGGGGGAGGCAGATGCTGAGGGAGGAGAGTGTTACAAAACCAAAATCAGGGTTGACGGTGACTTTGACACTGGCGGGCATGGTGACTCGTTGTATGGTAAGTGGGAAGATGTGGAATATATTTCAGACTTCAGACAGAAAGGACGTACTAGAAGCCTGAGTGCAGAGAGTAATTAACAAGGGAAAAGTTTGGCTCTAAATGTTTGACCTGGACAATGGAAAGGATAGAGTCAGAAGAACGTGCATGTACATTTTACATTAGTGGTTCTGAACAAGAAATTTTTAAAAAGGAAACATTTCAACCGCTCAATTTTGATGTTACTTCCAAAATAAAAGCCCCCACCTTGTTCTTTCCACTATGAAAGAAATGCTCTCTCATCTTACAGTGTCTTTTGAAATTGAAATGTTCTATATGGATAGAAGTTGGTTGAATTACCTATATTTAAAAATTCAGAAGCATGTGTTATTTATTTTCTATCTTCTAAAAAGACTAGGAGAATTACATAAAGTAAGCACTTTGTGGTCATAAAATGTAGAATTACAAGAGCCTTGCCTAAAATTATTTAGTATAATTTTATCAAGACTTATCAAGCACTGTCTCTTGTTATCCTCAGGTCCCGAGAAGAAAGCAGGAGGGAGGCAGGTATCCAAACCAGGAGAGGAATTTTTGAGTCTTAAGAGTAAGTCAACCTACTTGGACTTTGACCTGGTCTCAAAGGTTTTCCTTCCCAAATAAAATGGGGAAATAGGATATGGTCGTGATGGTTAGCTTCGAAAGCACATCGCTGTGCCTGCAATGATAGAGTATTTGTTGGCTGAGAGAGAACACTGCATATTGGGAAAGATAAAGTGAAGGGTTGGAATTATGCCTCTTTTTGGAGTTTCAAGTTGTTTCCTGTTCAATATGGTAGTGATAATATCTTCCTCAAACCATTATTTTGTGCGGATTAAATGAGAAAAAAATAATGCATATAAAAGGGGCTTACACAGCTCCTGGAACACGGCAGTTGCCTTGGGCCAGACAGTATTTCTGTTACCTTGCTTCCTGTAAAAGTAACCACAGCAGCAAAATATATTCTTAATAAGGTTTAACTAAGAAAGGACATTGCTCTACTTTTGAAACCAAATAAGACATGAACCAGGGAAAGAAACTATTGCAGAATGAGCAAGGAGAAATTTAGACTTGAGGCTCTTTTAGATTGTAAAGAGACTCTAGTTAACCTAATTAAGATAAAGGAGATTTAATTGGCCTAAGGGAAACCCCCAGTGATGAAATTGTGAGAACACCTAAATTTGTGTTGAATGCCTCCAGAGAATGGAGCCCGAAGGCATATTTAGAGAATTGAGAGTGTTACAATTGATTCTGATAGAAACTTTAATATAACCACAGAAAAGAAAAATAATGGAGTCATTAGCATTCATGCCAATAATATTATTGTATATCTGCAGTCACTGTAGTTGATGATTTTAAAATAAAGCATGAGGTTATCAGTACTTGAATTTGCCACTTAAAAATCCTTATGTCTAAATAGTTTTTTTAATTTGTAAATGTTCCTAAACCAACAGTATTTTGGCATTGAATAAAATTTCCTTGGGAAATGATTTATCACTTGCATTGGATTCCCAAAATACCCCAAGTGTACTGTCTGGGTAATACTCCTGTAATATAATCTCCTGGAGGCAACATTGCAAGAGATGTGTGTGGAAGAGTTTTTCAACCATGCCCTATTTGAGAATTGTCATACATGTCCAATGCTCTGTGAAATGAAGTGATTGTTACTAACAGAACTCTTCAAGCCCACATTAGCTTTTTCTGGCCCAATTCTTAGTTTCTCCCTGGTCATGATCCACACCTGGTATCAAGCCCTTTCTGGCTCATAGTGACCCCCCTCAAAACTAATTCTTGATTGAAACGGATAGCCTCATCTTTCGCCCAGCTAGTGGTTTTGAGCTGCTTAACCCATGGTGCCACCATGAATCCTTGCCCTAACAGGGTTTACTTATAGAAACTAATTTATCTTGGAAAAGAAAATTGCAGAAGTTGCTGCTACATCAAAAATCAACTCGGTTACTATTGAAATTATATTTAACGGAGTTGCCATATCCAAGCTTCTATTTTTTTTTCGGGTGGCTATGCACAGATGTGGATCTAAAGGAGGAAGTGTGTGACTTTCATCTTAGCTTGATCATTTTGTGTTGATTACAAATTATATAGATGGGAGGAATATGACATGAAGTGAAATGGAGGTTAAAAAAAAGAAAAAAAGAGATAGCATAGTTTGGGGCTGAGGAAACCAATGCTGGAATCCAAAAGACTTGTATGCACATCAAAATTGCTCAACTTACAGTCATGTGACCGCCAGTAATTTATTTAACTTCTTTAAATGTGTTTCCTTGTGTTAGAAAATAACTATTACTGTTGTACTGAAAATTAACTTTTAAAAAGGTATTAACTTGTTTTAGTGTCTTGAACACTGTAAGCACTCAAGGATTATACTTGATCAATTGCATGATTACTTTTCTTTATAATAATAAGCACTCAAGTATTATGATTTTATTTATTGTGGTTGTAATTATCATTATTAAGAGTAGAAAGAAAATAATTGATCTGTGATATTCAATATACATTCCTGGCTAATTTCAATTCACAGTTTCCCTCTGGTTTACTCCTTCCCTAAGAATGGATAAGGTGGTTATGGACTGGACAAATTAGAGGACATTTTATCTCACATTGTGCTAGAACAGTGGTTCTCAACCTTCCTAATGCCACCACCCTTTAATACAGTTCCTCATGTTGTGGTGACCCCATCCCCCCTGCCAGCCATAAAATTACTTTCGTTGTTACTTCTTCACTGTCATTTTGCTACTGTCATGAGTCAGGCGACCCCTGTGAAAGGGTCGTCCGACCCCTAAAGGGGTCGCAATCCACAGGTTGAGAACCACTGTGCTAGAGGCTGGAACTTCAGGTGGTACTTACCAATGCAAAGAGGTTAAACCCCCAAGAATGGCTCAGAGAATGATACAGACAGACATACTCTGAACCACATAGAGAAGATGCAAGCTGAGCTCTGAGATTCTTGTGGTTAATGGTCTTGCTCATTGAAAAAAAAGTTTTTTTTAATTATTTGGCGGGGAGAGACCACCCTTTCTTAGACATAGAATGATGTTGATAGAAGACTTGGTCAGGACATACGTGATTAAGATTTATTGTATCTCTGGTCCTAAATCTCCACCCACACAGAGCTGATGAGTGAAAGGGTTCTGAGGAACAAAGTCCTTTGTAGATGGAACCTTATTCTTTCTCTTCTTTGTATGTGGCGATGCTAAACTTAAGGACAGCGTGTCACCAAGTATGAGCATTTGATTCTGGGCTAGAGCAGTCTGTCCATAAGCAAGTAATACAACTATCTTCCTTTTGGATAGAATCCTGGGGAAATGGAAATTTTACCATTATGATGCTCTCCTCAGAACCTGACTTTTTAAACACACATTGAGAGAATGGGAGCAGGCTACCTGGAAAGGGGGGTGGGGGACGAGGGGCACCAGGTGTGTGTGTGGGGACGGGATGGGGTGGGGTGACTCCTGATTACCTCAGGCTGAAGCCTACCCATCATTTACAGGACCTGTCCTACGCTGCTTCCGCCGCTGCCGTGACTACTGCTGTCCAGACATCTTCGGATTCTAATTTCCTGTCCAGCCAGTTCGGCCACCGTCTTGGTTGCATAGCTGCAGTTGGTGCTGCAAGCATCCTGGCTAAGCCTACGAAACCGAAGGCTGCAATGGCGCACCGGTGGCGCCGTGTAAAAGTCTATCTCATAAACGATGATGAACAATGGGAAAAACTAGACACTGGGTTCATCTCATCTACTTTCAATGAAGAGCACCGGGCAGAGTCACTGCTCGTGCATTCTGAGGTCAATGGCTCTCTGATATTTGAGTCAAAGATAAATCCACAAACACCCTATCAGAAACAACGTGGGTCTTTGATTGTTTGGTGGAAAGCCGAGGGCCAAGGAGTGGCTATCAGTTTCCATGAGTCCGCATGCTGTGAGGCAGTCTGGGAAGACATTTGCCATGCTCAGGGCAAAGATGCTTCTCTCCACACCACACAAGACCCGTCAGACAACTCAGAACAGCAATTTTATGATGTGCCAGATACTAGTTGTTTGGTAGATCTGCCCAACTGTGAAATCTCCAAACTTGAGCACATTGCGCAAATAGTTCACTCGGTTTTTGACTCACCTGCCCTTAAGGAAAAGCTAGCTCTGGCCTTGGAAAAAGAAAACTATATTAAAAAATTACTGCAGCTGTTCCATGTTTGCGAGCTTCTTGGTAACCCTAAAAACTTACACCATATGTATGACATTTTTAAAGCAATCTTATTCCTCAACAAGACATCTCTGTTTGAGATCATGTTTTCCGATGCTTGCATCATGGATGTAGTGGGATGCCTTGAATACGACCCTACCGTGCGTGAGCCCATAAGGCATAGGGAATTTTTGTTTCAAACAGCACATTTCAGGGAAGTTGTACCAATCTCAGACTCTGAAATTAAGAAAAAAATACATCAGACCTACAGGGCCCAGTATATTTATGATCTCCTATTGCCTCTACCACCCATGTTTGAAGCGAATGTTCTTTCTACTATTAGTAGTTTTATTTTCTTCAACAAGATTGAGATAGTCAGCTTACTGCAGGAAGATGAAAAGTTTTTGTGTGAAGTTTTTGCACAGTTAACAGATAAGGGTACCGCTGATATTAAGCGGTGCGAATTGTTGTTTTTCCTTAAGGAATTCTGTGCCTTTTCTAAGACATTACAAAATCAAAGCAGAGATGAATTATTGGCAACGATGGCAAAGTTGGGAATTCTTCCTGCTCTTAAAATTGCAATGGGCATGAATCATTTGAAGATAAGATCTGCTGCTGCAGATATATTTGCTTATCTAGTAGATTACAGCCCATCCATAATACGAAAATATACAATCCAAGAAGCCAAGCACGTTGAACAAGGGAACCTTTTTATTAATATAATAATTAAACAAATGATCTATGATCCTGATCCTGAGCTAGGAGGTGCTCTTCAATTAATGGGACTTCTCTGTTCTATTCTTGATCCAAGCAACATGCTGGCTGTACCTAGTGAATATGGAAGAGGTGCGTTTCTAAATTTCTTTTACAAGCACTGCATGCATGTCTTGATAGGGCCACTTTGCACCACCATATCAGAAGATAAATGTGAGAACACTATAGTTATATCTAATGAAAATTGTGCCACTGATTATCAAACAGCACAAATGCTTTCCATAATTGTAGAGCTGCTCACCTTTTGTGTACAACACCATGCCCATTACATTAATAATTATATTTTGAACAAAGACTTGCTAAGGCAAGTCTTGACCTTGATGAAGTCAAAGCACACTTTCCTGATCTTGTGTGCTCTTCGCTTTATGAGAAAGATGGTTGGGCTTCAAAACGATCTTTATAATTCTTACATCATTGAGGGGAATCTCTTTGAGCCAGTTATCAACGCTCTTCTGAATAATGGAACTCGGTACAATATGTTGAATTCAGCTGTTATTGAGCTTTTTGAATATATAAGAGTAGAAAACATTAAGCCTCTTGTTGCTCATGTAGTTGAAAATTTTTTTCAATCATTAGAATCAATAGACTATGTTCAAACATTCAAAGGGTTGAAGACAAAGTACGAACAAGAGAAACAGAGGCAAAGTCAAATACGGAAGAATTTAAATGAGTTACTGCAGAGTAAAATACTCAGTAGATGCACCAGAGTCCGTGAGGAGATGAGAGTCCGTGAGGAGATGAAACAAAGGAGTCTTCAGGAAGAGACAGAGGAAGAAGAAATAACAATGCCACCACTAGAAGATACGGAACCAGAAGATCATGCTCCAAGTCAGCAAGATAACCTGACGGAGGTTAAGAAAAGAAAAGCCAATGAAGACAAGACCAACCTTGAGGAAAAAAATCCATGATGGCCTCAAATATAGTCCATCCCATTCTTCAGGTGTTGCCAGTAACACCAATCTCTTAAATGATAACAGTGTGACCAGTTCAGTGGCTTATCCAGAAGATGAAGATGAAAATGAAAAGACTAGTTCATGAAATCCTGACCAGGAGATCCTCCATGTGTGTCCTCCTAAAATACTGTAAATATGTAAGGAGCTAAAACATCCGAATCAAAACTCTTTCTCACGTCAACCTATAAGAATAAAAAATATAACAAAAATGCTTATTGAAATACTCAAAGGGGGTTACTCAATCTATATATCTATGTATAAAAAAGAAATCCTAAAAATTGGGGGGTTGGAGTGGGGTAAATTTCATACCCAGATATTGACTGATAGCTTTATAACAAGAGAAGTCTTAGCTTGAGGGGTGATTTGGAGGAGGAAATGGAATGATAAAATAATGTTGATGTCATTTTCCCCTAATATGTTGCTCCATATTACAAACAACAGTATGAGTGCAATTGCATAATGGTTCTGGTTATAGTATTCTTTCCTTCCATTGTATATCCTATGATATTTTTTCCTTTTGCTGCCTTTCTTTGAAATAAATGTTCCTGTTTATCTGGATGTTTATTTAGAAAACTAAGTTCGCTCTAAGACTAAAGCTATTCAATTATCTCTTTGAACATGTGGCAAAAATTCCGTCTTCGTGGGTAATTGGAAGGAAGTAACTTTCAAAATGTATGTGGATGAACAATAAAGAAAGCTAAATTCAAAATGGAAAATGGACACTTCTTTTAAAATAACCCCCTTTTTAATGAAGATCAGCAATATCAGGCCAATTGGTTCAGTAGTACTGGAAAAGGTTCTTCCTTAGGACTTTAGGGATGGGTAGAACAGAAGGCTGTTTAAATTGTGATAGACTTCGAAGTCATTTTCTGCTTCATTAATAAGTGATCTCTCTCCAGAGCAGTAGGTAAGTTTTAAAGTGTAATTGGTAAAGACTCTCATACAAAGAGCAGTGCCAAATAAGCAGCATTTAGTATTGGGAAGCCATTAGACCAAGAAAAAGATTGCTAACCTTTCAAAGTCAGCATACAGCACATGGAACTTTTCTATAAGTATGAGTGCAGTATGAAAGCTGTTTTATTAAAAAGTTTATGCAGGTGAATTTCTGAAAATGAAGGGATGCAAAGAGTTAAGAGTTTTTATTAGAAGAGTAGATTAACTGGGTCCATTTTTCTTAGAGTAATATGACGAGCTGTTTCTCCTGCCTTGAAGAGTTTGTATTTAATTTTAAATTTAGCTTATGTCTGGGCAACCTAGGTTGTTTGTATAGATATGAAGTATAGTTTTCCATAAAATATATATTTATTGGGTATTTAAAATAATAAGACACTTGCTTTACACTGTTTAGTGATAGTCATGCTGAACTATAATAACCAAGAACTAAAATGTGACCCAGAAATTATTTTAAAGACTTTATTAAATTTACTGTTGTGTCAATAGGAGGGACATTTTATGCAAAAAGCAAAGACTTCTGTGTAAAGAATCCAAAGAATCTGTTTCTAAAACAACCAAATCATTTCACCAGATAGGAAGTCAGCTGAAGTGTGGACTTGACCTCATGCGGTGTGATCATACATTGCCAGGGACATGTCTTAAGGAGAAATTTGCATTTGCACATCTCTCAAGTCCTGCTAGTTAAATCTAGGATTATCGATGTGATTGTATGCTCGCCAAAAGATGAACTGTTAGAAAAGTATTTGGTTGTTCCTTTTGGATAGATTCTCATGAGAAGATTGCCCATACTACCCTCCCCCTCCCGATTTCATGTTGAAGGGGGAAAAAAAAAGTAATTTCTTAGTTTGGGTGAAAATTGGCCCAGTTTCTTTAGACAAGTTATTTACAATGAGGAAGAGAAGAATAGTGCTTTGTTTTTTAAAATCATTTTATTGGAGACTCTTACAGCTCTTATTACAATCCATACATACATCCATTGTGTCAAGCACATTTGTACACATGTTGCCATCATCATTCTCAAAACATTTTCTTTCTACTTGAGCCCTTGATGTCAAGTGCTCATTTATTCCCCTCCCTCTCCCTCCCTCTCTCATAAACCCTTGATAATTTATAAATTTTTTTTATGTCTTAAACACCGACCACCCTTCACCCACTTTTCTATTGTTCATCCCTCTGGAGGGAAGGGGTGTTATATGTTGATTATTGTGATCGGTTCCCCCTTCCTCCCTCCATCTTCTCCTTACCCTCCTGGTATTACTACCCTCATTATTGGTCTCGAGGGGTTTATCTGTCCTGGATTCCAGCTCCTATCTGTATCAGTGTACATGCTGCGGTCTAACTGGATTTGTAAGGTAGAATTGGGGTCATGACATTGGAGGGTGGGCATTAAAGAACTAGAGTAAAGTTGTATGTTTCGTCGGTGCTATACTGCACCCTGAGTGGCTCATCTCTTCCTTGTGACCCTTCTATGAGGGGATGTCCAATTGTCTACAGATGGGCTTTGCCTCTGCATTCTACCCCCTCCCCCTCATTCATTTTGATAGGAGTTTTTGTTCTGGGTATTTGATGCCTGATATCTGATCCCCTGAACACTTCATGATCACACAGGCTGGTGTGCTTCTTCCATGTGGGCTTAGTTGCTTCTCAGCTAGATGGCTGTTTATCTTCAAGCCTTTAAGACCCTAGATGCTATATCTTTTGATAACAGGACACCATCAGCTTTCCTCACCACATTTGCTTATGCACCCATTTTGTCCTCAGCAATTGTGTCTGGAAGGTGAGCATCACAGAATGCCAGGTTATTAGACAAAAGTGTTCTTGCATTGAGGAAGTACTTGAGTAGAGGCCCAATATCACCTTAATACTTAATATATGAATATATGTACATAGATCTAATTCCCTATTGTTATATATAAATATATTTGTGGACATTTTATATTTATATATTTTATATATATATTATGGACATTTTATATTTATATATATATATAAATTATTTATATATTTTATATATTATGGACATGCCTATATTTAGACCTCTATAAATGTCCTTTGCCTCCTAGTTCTTTCCTCTGTTTCCTTTTACTTTCCTCTTGTCTTGCTATCATGCTCAACCTTTATTCAACTTTCATTAATTTCTCTTGACTACATTGCACTTGATCAAGCCCCACCAGGCATCCTACACCCTCCTCCATTTTAGATCACTTTTTGTCCCCTTGTCGCCGGGTTCCTTGGCTCCCCACTTCCTTTCCCCCACCTCCCCCTATCCCTTGTGTCACCCTGGAACTGTTGGTGGATCCCGTTGTTTTCTCCTCAGGATTGTTTATCCTGCCAATCTTATCTAGATAGATGTGCAAAAACAATAATAAACACAAAAGCAAAGCAAAACAAAGCAACAAAATAACCCACAACAACAAGAAAGAAAAGCCTATGAATAGTTCCAGGTCTGTTTATTGACCTTTATGAGTGTTTGATGCTATTTCTGTTTATTCTCTATCCCTTAGTTTTCATCTGCCACACAAAATGAACCATGTAAGGAAAAAAAAAAGAACCGTGTAGGAAGGAAATGAAGGAAAAGAACAGTTGCATTTATTGCTGTATTGTCCTTGGTGCATTGGTAAAGAAAAATGAGGGAAAGCATAAGTTAAAAAAAAAAAGAACAAGAATAATTCCTGGCACTCTATTAAGCTGCATAACCTCTAGAAGCCCTTTTCTCATTGCAGCTTCTTAATGTTAGGGAAAGCTTTGTGACAAGCAAAATGGTACAAAGGCAAATTGCCCATTAGATGGCACAGCCTACTATTAAGGGAACATTTAAGAGGGCAACAAAACACAGCAGAGCAACCCTTGCTGTCTTCACCCCGAGTGAAAAATTGACCAGCATGTTCAATCTTCTAACTGGTGTGTGAGAACACACCAAGTCAGGAATGTTTCCTTTCTTTTCGAAGTCGGTTAGAAGTCATTAAGTAAAGGACCCCTTAAGTAGGTTAGTTAGGAAAAGAAATAAAGCATATGAAATGGCCTATATTGACAATAAAATCCAGGCAAACACTTTTGGAGAATATCCTGGAAATATCAAGGTTTGGGCTTTAAACACATGACCTTTGGTAATTTTTATGACTCAGTGACTTCCTAACACACGCACCCCCCCACCCCCCACTCCTGCCAAAACACACGTACACACATATGGGGAGTAATTTAAAGGCAAAGCAAATGCTTCCTATTTAGAGTGCTTCAATGACAATGCCAACTCTGCACATTTAGTGACCTTGGGCAATTTATTTATTTGTCTTTCCTAGCCCCAATTTTTCTGCCTTGTTTTTTGTTTTTTTTCATTGGAAACTATATGCGTATCACCCAGATTATATTTAGTCCTTTATGAAAACGCATAATCAGCTGTGGCAGCAATATACTCATTCTTAAGAAGGTGGAAAATAAAAACCAGTTATAACCACTTATATCACAAGTTAGGCTCATAAATCAGTAATCCTAGATTCTGGATCAAATTGACAGCAACATAATAAATTAAAAATGAATGAGTTCAATTCAGGTTGGCAGACAACTCTATGTGTTTGAATCATGCCCTGCTGAAACACAACTGAAATAAAAATATAAAAGAAGAAAGAGAAGTAAACCCTCAGAGCAATGAAGACAGTTGGGTTGAATGGTGTTTGGGATGTTAACCAAGGAATCAGAGATGTAGGGAACTTAGAAGAGCTGGTGGGGGAGAAGTGGAGAAAAGGGAAGATTTGTAAAAGTGATAGGAGTGAGTCACCAAGTCGTATTCTCTCCAAGCAGGCAGAGCGGCCAACTATCCCTAGGCAACAGACCAGGGAGCTCTGGTGGCATAGTGGACTATGAACTGAGACTTGCTGACCACAAGGTCAGCAGTTCAAACTCACCAGTTGCCCCAGAGGAGAAAGATGAGGCTGTTTCGAATCTTGGAAATCCAAGGGGACGGCTCCACTCTGTCTGAAAGGGTCATTATGAGTCAGAATCTACTTGAAGGCAGTGAGATTTTTAGAGACAACAGCCCAAAGGTCCTTTCCCTAAAGCAATGAAAATACCAGGCAAAGTTGGGAGCCTTGGAGGGGGGTGGTCAGCCTTTCCTTTCTGCTGGAAAATTCAGGATGCTAGTAGTTCACCACTCCTAATATACAAGCTTTGGAAAGAAACATGTCAATTACTGATTAAGGTTTGTAAAGATGGCCTTGACTCTCTTGCTCCTAAGCCCTCCAGATGACTGGTTTGCGTGAGGGTAGGGCACTACTGAAAAAAAGGCAACGTTGTAGTTGCTGGAAGGGAATCCTCAGATTTTGTGGAGGAGGAGAAAGAAGAGCAACTCATCACCTGGGGTCGTACAGGGGAGGGAGGGACAGGAATAACTTTTATCTTTCAGAGCTGCCTCTGGGAACTTCCTCCCCAAAGAAAGCACTCCGGTGTGTTCTCCTTCATGAAAAGATAAAATGGATCTTGTTCAAAATTACACAAATCCTGGTCCTGCCTTATATTAGAAGTGTAACCTTGGCATTTAATGTGACACCTCTGATGTTAAGGTTTCGCATTTTTAAAGTGTGCATATGTTTTTGTGAGCATTCAATGATATACTTCCTATGACTTTCACTGAGCTATCATGATAAGAGTTCACGAATGAGCTACTTTATTGAACATGGGCCATATATATCAAACACAGTTGACTAGCCAATTTGCCAATGATATTTCTAATTTCAAAATAAAC